TTCTAAGTTATAAATAATTTTGAAAACTTGTACATTTATACTTTACTATTTAACTCCTGTTCAGCAAATTTATTCTAAAGTATTTAAGGGGCTTCAGTATCCAAGATTTGCATATAGTGTGTGCACTTATATTGAACATTCAAGTGAGCTCTTGTTTCAAGCCTACCTTTCAGAGGCTTTTTGTAATTCTTCAATTTGTTCCTTTCAGGTATTTTTCAAATAGTTGCAAGCATTTCTAATGACAGCACAAACTTAGCTCTTGATATTTAATTAAAATTTTGCATATTCTCAGAAGTTTAATGATATTCAGGCAGTCCAGGAAATACTGCAAATCAGACTCTGTAAAGGATTCTGATATTGTTATTTTAAAGGAGATACTTTAATGCTTGAGGCTTCTGTCATTGTTAATTATTGTACATGTGGTGAGTTTTGATCTGCAAGATACAATAGGATTATATATAAAGTTTTGTGTAAGTGTATATAATGTAGTTTATTAGAAATTCTGCAAGTTTATAAAGTGTAAATATTTCGCATATGAAAACTAAATTTAAAGGTATAGTTCCATAAAAGAAGTTGAAGTTTAGAGCATATTGAATATTTAAAACAGTATTTTTTCAAAGAAATAAAAATATACCGCCTCTGGATTTAATTTAGTTTATGCACTGAGTTGCACTGTGTTTTCAGGGAAGTTCAGAGCACACAGCATGTGTGTTCTAAATATACAGAATTATATGACTTTCATCCTCTAAATTTCATTCTCCCATCTATGCTCTCGAGTATGTGTATCCAAAATAACAATGTTGTCCCTCAATCTTTACTTGTTAAGGTAAGATTCATTACATCAGATAAATGAAGAAGGATACTCAGTTGTTCATCAGGTACTTTACATTTTGAAAGCTATGCATACTCTGGTATATTTGCCTTCTACTTGTGGTTTGTTAAAAAAAAAAACAACACTATTTTTATTAGAATATTTGAAGTTTCTGTATTTGCATTTAACATATTGGTGATATCTCTGAGCAGTGTGAAAAAGTTCTGAAAATCTAGTAGTTTTTACTGTGTAAACACTACATGATAACCTGTTACATTTGGCAAAGTGTAATATAATGGAAAGGATCTTTTTTGCACTTGCTTCATTATGTATTACTTTGTTCGTATTACTCTTCAGCTGAATTTGTCTTTGAAGCTCTCTAACATGGCTCTCTATGCAGGCTTGGAATTTTTCAAGTCAGCAGATAAGTGTTTTAATTATTTTTACATATGAGACCAACGTAGAGGTGATTTTAATCCAATATGTTCTGGAAAATACTACTTGTGAATGTAGACATACAAACGTACCAATGCTAACAGAACATTTCCCTCCTTCCCCTGTAACTGGATGCTCTGGGCTGTTGTTCTGCACAGACCTCCTGTCGTCTGTGCACACTGAAGCCTGTTCACTGCCAGAAGCACGCCTGGGGAAGCTTCTGAGGTCGTGTAGACGAGACTTGCAGGTGCCGAGTGCCTTTTCTAGGAGGGGGAAAATAGCAGAGCAGGGCTGTCAACATCACTAGCGATGAATGCCCGATATCTCACGATGAATGCCCGATATCTCAGTGTTGGAATGCTAGTTTAGGTTTTTTTTATTCTTCCTTCCATGGACATGAGGAGAATTTGCTAGGTTTTGTGTTGGGTTCTGTTACTTAGATTATTTGTTGGATGCTTTCTTTATTTGCCCTTGCCTTACCCTTCCCCTCAGCATCATTGTTACAGCTGTACCCAAGACATGACTTGTCTGCTACCTCCTTCCGATGTATTGTTAATCTCTGCCTTGAGTTCAGGTGTTGTGTCGCAGTGAGCATTCTGTCATGCATGAGAAAACATGATCTATAAAAGCGCAGGATCTCCTCACTACTACCGCTTCTTCACTAACCACATCGGCCGCTCTCCTTGGATATCGAGGAACTACTCTGGAGCCGGGCCCTACGTCTCAGGCGTTGGGTTGGAGGGAGAGCAGTGAAAAGCATCCGTTTGCCGTGTATGTGAGGGGAGGGGAAAATAAATATGTCAGTGCTGAAGTCTCTGCCTTCAACGGCCCTTTTCCTGGCGCGCGTTTCCGTGGTAGGGCCGGAATGGGCGGCGGGCGGGAGTTGTCTCAGCCCGGCCCTCCCTCAGCCATGCCTGGCCTCGTCGCCCGCCCACCTCGCTGCGCGGAGGCCTCTGGGAAAGCGCCGCCGACAGGTGACAGCCCTCGGCGCTGCCTGGGGCCCCAGGGGCCGGCCTGAG